TATAAAGAATGACTATAAATCATGTTTTAAAACTTTTAGACGTGTATTTTATTTATTTAAAAATTTTATTAAGTAGCTAGTGATTTTACAGTAAACATTAACAAATTTTTTTCTTTAATAAAATCTCAATATATTTTAATAAATTATTTTAATAAAGTAATATTAACTTGTTTTATTAAAGAATTGAAAGTCTACGTTTATCAACATTAGGAAAGTTATATATCGCTGGGCTATTCGACAATTCCTATATTAAATTGCCATTCTTAAGAAGAATACAGTGAAACTGTGAGAATACAGGTCAGGTCAGAAAACCTCTTTTTTCTTGCTGAGTAGGTTAACTGGAAGTACTAAACTAGTTTGAGATATATTTCGAAGACATCATCAATACTTAGAAACGTGCTCTCTCAATCCAATTTTTACGAGAACAAAACAAAACTTATTTGATTGGATTTTTTATTTTATTAAAGGAAATTTTCTTAAATCAAAGATAAAAATATATGATACAAAAATATATTAGATAAATATAAACCATAAAATTATATAAATTTTGATTACAAATTAATCAACTATTTGTATTTATAAATACATAAAGATAATATATCTGAGATGTAAGGTCAATCATGAATTATATTTTCCAAATGCTTTATTATTTCCAAGAAATAATTTTATCGTAGAAAGTCACAATGAAAGAAGGAAAGATAATAGACACTTTAATTTTGTTAAAAATTTATTTTGTATCGTCAGTGTTAATTACGGCGCGCAATTATGTCTATAATATATTGATGTGTTTTGTCACAATAAACTTTAGGCCATCAAAGTTACATAAACATTTTTTTCGAAGTGATAATAAATAATACATTTTTCGTTCTATCTCACGTACTTTCGATTTCAGGTATTTCAGCTAGTAACCATCAATTCGTATCGTTACATATTGACTTTATGATCAACGCAACATTTTATCGACATTTCATCGACATCGTAGAAGTTCCCATGCTTTCCCATCGTAGGCAAATTGTAGGGAAATCTGAAAGGGAAACATTTTCTGTCGAAAAAAAGCAATCGACTCTTATTCCAATATCAATCAATATATGCCGATTCTTGTGAAATACTTTTTAATACCGTTTACAACATCTCTTAACACATTATCAACGAGATATTTTTCCATTTGACGGATGCTATATCTTAACTAATCTAGCCTTCGCTTGTTTAACATTCGAGTTATTAAAAAACAATTTGAAAAATAAGTTACTTCTCTGTCATTGAACCTAGATAAGTTTTAAGGAATTTTTAAGGACTCGGTTTTCCGAATCTGCAAAAAATGAAGATGTACACTTGTACTATATCATAAATCTTGTTGACAGCTAATGGCTACCGCCATTATTTGAACGATTAACTTTTGTGACGCTAATGGACTTCTAGGCTGTAAAACATATAGTTGTCAGACTTATGATGTAAGAACTTACACGATTACTCCGATACGGTGCAATGCACAGTAATTTCGAGTAAAAGTTAACGTGAATAATTGTGCTCCAGTTTTATATCGATAGTTTTGCGCGTGAAATTTATTTTAGAATGATTTAATATAAAGATATATTTATTAATCAATACACATAACGATCAAATATAATTTACGATAAATATTTAAGAATGTTAATATTTTAATATTTTGTATTATTTCAATTTTGTTTCGATCAAAGCATAAATATCTGTTTGTTTAAAGAAATTCCGTATTAATGGAATGATTCTTTATTATACATTTTATTTTACTTCTTCAAAATAATTATTCAAGCATTTATCAAATAAATTTTTGAATAAGAGGAAAATGTGTTATTGATGGAAAAGGAAAATTGTCGAGTTTGAGCATAAATGACCCGGTGCTCATTAATTAATACGATTCGCTCGAGATCTCTTTGCTTCAACAATTGACTAGCTTTGTCGATCAACATTTAATATTAACTGGACCTGCCAGCGCTATTGAAATTCTCGCGAAAGCATAGATTCAACTTATACCTTATATCTGTTTATAGAATTATCGTATTAATCGACGGTCATTCCAGTCGAGCGTTATGTTCACCGCAGCACACATAATAATTGGACTGCGAAAACTAGCGTTTAATCCAATTCAACATGATTCGATACATTATTTTTCACACATGACATATTCAATGAATTAGTTAAATGATGTGCTCGTTAAAGACGACATTTAATCACTCGATCAAGCTAATTGATTGGACTTGTCAAAATATCTTTTATCGTGCTCTATTATTTTCTCTATAACAAATATACCGCTTCTTTTTTACCGTTCGGGAAGGTTTGCCTAGGCGCAAAGAAAGTCGATATGTATATTCTGATCGAGTAAATCGAGAGCTCGTGCCCCGCCAGTAGCTGCACATCGACGTAATTAACATCTATGTATACACTTTGGCCAAGTTTGTACATATGCACACAAGCGCCCCATATACATACATACATACATATTTACATGTCTACGAATATAGCTAATCTATAAGACATTGAACAAGATACTGCAGAACGTCGACGTTTTCATTGAACATCGTAACACTCGGACGATCGATCGTTTCTACACAAACGTGTACTCTAAAGTCGAAGATAGCAGCGTGATAATTTGATAATTTCGCTATCACTTCAGGTAATCTGGTTTTCGACAGCATGAGATAAACACAATAAAAAACAAGATACAATAAGAAAGAATTCATATTATTGCATTCCCATTGCGAATAAACTCCGAAATCATTTTCTGAATATCTAAAGCATTGAAATGTTGATTCAGTAAAATTCCACTCATTCTGTTGAGATTTCATAAAGTATTTATCTTATTTTCATCTCTCTTGGTGTTTGCAGTTGCATGAGCTGCTTTGTCGCGTTTGTTATTCGAATCCGCATTGGTTTCTCTTTGCTCTTTTTGGGGGAAGAAAGAAAATAGCTTCCTGCAGATCCTGCAGTTTTCCTTTTTGATCAATTGCATTACATTGAGGCTTATATTTCTGTATTTTGAATACCAAATTTCTTATCTTATATTGCACCGCGATATTTTTGTAAAACTAGGCTGGTTTTAACAAATTAAATTTACCAGTAAAATAATTAAACGACGATTTTTTAAGTGCAATTCTTTTTACAAAGCAGTAATTGAATTAAACAGAATATCTTATTTGAAAGTTCTTTTAAAGGTTGCTAGAGTTGCTAGGATCGATGAGAAAAAAAATATTACTCGTCGGTTAGTCGACGCCACGGTAACATGATGCAATTTCATTAACTTTCTGTCGGAAAGTTGGCTAGGGTAGAAAATCGTTCGTCCGACGTTTACAGTTCTCTCCTACATCCGCCCAGAGTTTACTTTTGTAATTATATGAATTTACTTTCACGCTAGAGGTCTTTCAAAATTCTGAAATCAAAGTAGAATTGTAGCTCTGCGGATGGGCACCATTAAGCTCATATCAAGAGAAAAAGATCTTTATAGTATATGCGGTTTAAAATATGCATGATTTCATAAATTATTATAATAGACATTATTATAAATTATTATATAATAGTATCAAGAGATTGTAGAATATCGAGCCTTATAATTACAAAGATCAGACGAGAGTATAAAATAAAACAACGATTTTTCTCACGTTCTTAAAGGCGGCTACAATTCAATCGTTGAGTCTAGATTACATTTATTAACTCGCCGTGGTCCCCTTCTTGTTAAAACAAACTGTCCACACATACGAGGTTCGTTCGTCCACGGTTTCGTTGTATCAGGCTTAATCTTCTTCGATTTGCTTCTCTGATTACATACATGGGAGTCTTCTCTGTTCGTATTGACTAGAATAATGTAGAAACGTCCATTTCGTTGGACACATCACGAGAAAAATTAGCATTGCAATTAATTCGGAAATGATTAAAAGTAATAAAGCTGATATCTATATAAATCACATGTTGTAAATAAAAGTTTTGGATCAATAATATATTGAACCAAACGAAATGTTTTTTTTTTTTTTTTTACGAATGGTAGATATTTTATGAAATGTTATATATTATTTGTCATGAGATTTTTCATTGTTGTAGGTGACTTGATACATTATTGGCCCGAATTTTTTTAAACTAATATTGCATATTTTTGATACTAAGTGTATCTATTTCTTCGAGGATGTTGGCGTTTTTATTGTCAGTGAGAATAAATATTTGTCCTGTTAAAACACATCATTAAGTTACAGGTTTTTATTTCATGTAAACAAAATGATTTTAAATACTGTATAACTGTAATGTAAAAACTTTTTTCCAATTTTGTTGTTTAAATTCTACAAAAAAATTGGATACGAGAAAATTGACACAACGTGAAACAATTTGGAAATACGATTGAATGAGGAACTTCAGCTACCTTGATTTATGAAATAATTGTGCGCATACATTTAAGCTTACATATAAAAATTGACACTTGTTACTACATAATGTACTTCACTTAATAAGCATACATCCTCGAAATGCTCATCCTCGAAAGAAATTTCTTACCGCTGACACGTTTTTGGCCGACATCTGTTCATTGATTATCATAAACGTAATCATGGCAGAACCGTTAATTAACTTTAGATTAACATTCGACAGAACTAAAAATTTCTAACACACAATCACATACATTGTAGGCATTGCTGAAGAACAATTTAAGTACGAGTGTACAAGAGGATGAATTTTCGCTCTTTATATTTCGTTAATATCCGACATTTCGGTGCATATTTAACTCGAATGGCTGATGATTGCAGTTGCTAAACTTTTATAATTATAGCAGATTTGCATAAGACGACTTAAATACGAGTATATTTAATAAGAACGTCTTATATACGTTTTTATAAATTATAAAAGGTAATTGCGCTTTCAAAAATGCTATTACATTTTTTTTTGTTATGTTAATCAACGTTGCTAATGAATGTTCCTTATATTTTTTGAAATGTTTGAAATAAATATCACGCCTAGCATTTTCTAATCATATATTTTGCCGTGAATTAAGTTTGCAGAAAGTATCTTAATTTTATTTGTTCTTTGGAACTATATTCGATAATTTGTTTGTAAGAGCGTTTATTTCTTTTGATTTCATTAATTTAAAAGTCGATGATCAAGTGGGAAACGTAATTGACATAAAATCGCAACGAAATGCCGAGATTATTCCTTGTGAATGACGATTATTCTTCGTTTGTCTTGAGACTTAAAACTAATGACGCAACTATCCCGTTCAGCAGTCATTTATGGACGGCACTCGACGACTAATATGCGCACACGTGTCCTGGATATTATATTGCCGTTTTGGACTTGAGTACATAGAAGAATCTTAAATAGCGCGAGAAATAATAATACTTTCTATCGCCGATATGACGTGTCGTCCATCAAGAATTCTTGCTCGAGCATTCCCACCTGTCAATATTATCGATTCATTAACGAGAGCGAGTAAAATAATCTAGCAATTATTTCGGAAGATTTATACGAAATAGGATAATTTAATTTCATATGCAAATGTGTTTGCAAGAAGTTTCTCACATACAAGGTTCCCTATTTTCTGCGGAAATTTTTTAACTTTCTCAAATATTTGTATGCAACCCGAAATTGATGTTGAGTTTGTAGAAAGTTTCAATTTTCTATGGTACACTGTTCGTTAATTGAATCTTTGATCACGTTTATGAGAGAAGGTCAAATTGCGAATTATTTGAAGAATTAATTCAGTTATAATTTGTGCAACCATCGTGACTCAGTGATATAGTTTAAATTTTCAAATTTATTATTTTGCAAACTGTAAAAGTGCAGAAATATTATGGTAGCATTACATACATTTTTTGCAGTAAAGTATTTTAGTGATAAATAAGTAATGCTTTGTTGTTTGTATTGATATTTAAAAAATTTTATAGCTTTGATTAGCTATAGTGTATTGATTTATTAAAATACAATGTTTGTTTAACTCACAGTTTAATCTATTCTTCATCCTTTTTTAATTCTTAGAACTAGAAAAAGCTAAAGAGTTAATTAAACCAAGATTAAAATTTAACTGTATTGTTACAAACAGGCATTAAGTCGTTTATACAATATCAATTGTTTTATTAATTTAACTAATTTACCTCTACATGCGTTATTGTGCAGACAAAATTTTTGCTTGCACATGAAACATTTCGCACAAAGTGGAAATTTTTCTCGATAACGAGGCCTGCTCTCGTGCAATAAATGTCCATTGTGCATGTGTCTTCACCAGTAAGCGCGTATCTCATGCGACGATATAGTTGAAAGTGTTATATAACAATCCCCTATCTATAGGAGCATTTCAATTCCATGGCAAATTGTCGTAGTTGGATGTAGTTGTGGCTCTATGTTAACAAGATCACGGTCACGGTGATAAAATTTTAATGATTGTACGTATGTATAAAATAATAAATAGAAATATATAAATCTAGAAAAAAGTAGATAATAGTAAATTACTTCTTCGTAAGAATTTTTCTAATATTTATCGAAAGAAATATTGACATAAAAAAATAGATAATATTGCAAGTTAATAAACAAATCCATTCCATGTATTTTAATCAACTGAAACTGATGAAACTTCAGAAAAAGCTAATAAATTAATGTTTTGTTCAATAAATTAAAAGGCTTTGCTATAAAACAATATTAATTTAAATTAAATGTTTAAAATTGCAATACTTTTACAACTTTTCAATAACATGAAATTTTACGTAATACTGTTTTTACTTAATACTGTACATCACATGGATAATACAAAAAATAAATAGGTATGAGGACATTTTAAAACTACTGATTAACGTATATTTGAAAAAATTGAAAGTGGTTAAAATTGCGAAGCTCACGGTGAAGTAAAATATTTGCATGTTCTGGCAGTAATTTGCGGACTATTTCGGATAGATATTTCGCGATGTATTACTACAGGTTGTTACTTCGCCTAAGATAATAACCCCCTTTGCTTACCTTCTCCCTTCACGAATCCAAATTTATCACGAGATTATGCGGCCGATTGTGATGCCATAACGTAAATTGCATCAAACATGCATTGTACGTATTCAGCAAATTGATCACAATACGAGAATGCATATTTCCGAAGTCTAACTATGAGACAACAGCTTTTTTCTTTCGAATTTTAGCGATGCTTTTCGTACTCTTATTATTTATATTTCTGAATAATTTAGTCGAATGAATATTTAATTAAGATATTTAAAAACTCAGAAGAAAATTAGAATAATAATATTTATATAAGAGTTTTATCTCGTATCTACTTGTATGATAAATTTTACTTTTAAAAGAGAAGTAGATTTTTAGAAAAACACTAATATGTTAAATGTTTAATTAATGAACAATAATCTATACCAATCAGACAGCCCCGCTGCTATTATTGATGACTGTCTTCTCCATGGCGTCAGTGTTGTTATTGGAATTCGTCTTGGTGATGTCCATCTGATTAGATTTCGTGTTGTCCCTCGGCCCGTCCAGGAAGTAAGTTATCATACTGCCCTTCCCTTTGACTTGAATCGTTCCGCGGCACGTGAGCGGATATCCTTTAGTGATCAGAATATCGCGGACCTCCTGGGTGACTTGAATCCCGTCTAACACGCCCGTAGAATCCATCCTGGAGGCCACATTCACGGCGTTGCCCCAGATATCGTATTGCGGTTTTCTGGCACCAATCACACCGGCAACCACCTGCGCAATTCGCGTTGCATATTGAGTTTCTCTGCCTTGAGAATACTTGACAACTTTACCGCGATTTTCTTTCTCACAGCTGAGTTCGAGTGCTATGTGAACGAAATAATCAAAATTTGATGCGTTACGAGAAAATCTCGCGGAAGAGTTATGAATTTGAATAGAAATTTAAAGTCGAATCATCTTTAGAATTAAAAGAATTATAATTAATATTAGGCAATTTTCTTCAAGATATATTAAAATTTAAAAAGAGGAAGTAAAATATCAAATTTAATATATTCTTTATTTTTTAAATTAATTTAAAATTGATATGAGATATAATTTTTTCGAGTTATTATATTACACAAGTTTTCAATATATTTTCAGATTCTCTCTCATTCCGTCGCTGAATGCAATTTACGGATTATTTACAAAGAATGCAATGATGTAGCGGAATTGCTCGTCCCATATGTTATTTAATATTACCGGTCCGATGTTGATGCCCACACGCATGCGAAAGTTATTAAAGCTGTGTTCATTGACATAGGCCAGCTGCTCGCGGATTCTCAGGGCGTAATCCGCCATTGCGACTACGTGCTTGTAATCCCGCATATCGCATGTGCTTTTCGTTAGGCCTAAAGCAACAAAAAAAAGACTAGAGTGAACTTTGCGCGACGGCGTTGTTCTGATCGCAGTGTCCTAATTCGAGTAACGAGTCTGAGTTGTTAGGAAATTGTTAGGAAATTGCGCGAAAAATCAAGTAGTTGTGGGAAATTAGATCTGTCCTCGTGGAACTAGAAAAACTTTGTTAGGAGAATTAAAACAGGGAATTTTGGACGCAAATTTAATTTGAAAATATATTTGGTGGTGATAACAAATAAATTAATTAAAAGTTAATTATTGAAATGTGCAATGAAGATAAAATATTTTATCATGCTTTTGCGAATTTATTGTATGAGTCTGCAAGCCGGTTAAATATAATTAAATTTAATCCAATTAATTTTCATCGACTCAACGATTAATTGTAAACGCAGTACTGCTCTTTTCTGGAGCGATATAAAAGTTGATAGCGATTTTTTGGAATAAATCAAAGAATTGTTGAATAATGAACCACTAAGATTTTATAAGAGACATACCTGAAGCGGCCATATACGTAGCGCCTGTACTCTTGATTTTCTCGATGTACTTGAACTGTTCCTCAGCAAGTAACTCGTCGAAGTCAGCAATGATTTCGTTGAGAAGCCTGAGGCATTCCACGCCCTCGTTATTCGCTTCGAGTTCTACGTAGAACTCCGAAAAATTTGGTATCGATGCGAACATAATGCACACAAAGTCGCATTGTTCGTGGTACAATTCCTGCGAAACAATTGACATCGTTCTGGACATGCCTATTTAATCTTTTTTTTTATAGAATATATTTCTTAATATTTTACAAGAATCTTGTTTAGTTTTGTCACTTATAAATAGTTATACTAATTTTAAAACACTATAATTGTTCTGACCATTTTAATTACTTATAAACTTTTGATATATTTTTTTAATAGTTTATTTTAATTGTTTGGAACTTCGAGAGTGGTATTGAAGTCTATACATATATATTCGCAATAAACATTATTATTATTTGATATCTAATTTCGTGCATTAAATGTGGAATTGCGGTTGGATAGAACAGGACAAATTGATTAAATAGATAGGACACAATTAGGTGAATCGATAAATACTATTGAATATCAATCTGGAACCTAGAAATTAGATGAGTTAACATTTAACATGTCAGTTGTCACAGGTTCGTAGTTTGTGTATATACAATTGTGTGATTAAGGATTACTTTTAAAATTTTGAAAAAGTAATTTTTAATTAAATTATAAATATTTGACATTATACCTAAGTGATCTTCACATACGACAGCTGAGGATATCATTATAAAAATCGTCTAGGATTAATGATTAATTTGCGATTTAATTAGGAAAAGAAGGAATGGAAAAGCAAAAAAATAAATAAACACTGCTCTTATGAAAATGTCGCTGTCACGAAGCTTCTAAGAAAGCTGAAACTCAATTAATTCTATTAAGATGAACTTTAAAATATACGGTAAAATTTTATTTTATACACTGTTAGACATTAAAGGAATAAACCAATCCCTTGAGTTAAATAATATTTTATTATTTTTAACTTCTCTATGTGTCAAAATGTAAATCCGCAAAATGTTAATCTATTCCTTCAGTTAGTAAACAACGTCCATATTAACGAATTCATTTGTTAGTAAATAATAATGATATTAAATTTGAATCAAATTTAATTTAATTTCTTAAATTAAATTATTTAATTCCATTGTTTTAAATTAACGATGTACTGAATAGAAGCAATGATGACGTATAAATGGTTAAAAGTAACTCAAATTGGATATAATTTGACACTATGAATTTAATAATGTATACACTCATCTTACAAATATAAATTGCTGTTTAATCTATAATCATTTAACCTCATTATAGGAAATGTCAAAATGTACCTATTATGAGTGTCCCAGTCTCTATATCTATTTTGTCTCAAGTATAACTTCTCACTTCTCAAAGTATACAGAGTACAAAAAATCGACCAGTTATTGTGCCAAATATGTATATGTTCTCGATGAAATATTCAAATTGTTTTATTGACATAGAAATGATATAATGGTAAATTGACATAATAATAAATAATAATATATATAGTATATTATACATAATTATATAATATATAATGTATATACAATTATTTACAGCCATTATAATAAATGATACTTATTCTATTTTTTACTTAGTGCATTTAAAAAATTATGAAATTATTGTGGAAGATTTCTTCGAACTTGTTTGTCAGATAGAACTTACGTCTGAATTGACAGTAGACAGAAAATGAGCGGCCACGTGTTCTGGAAGTATATTTGCGAGCAATTTCTGATTGTAGGCCTTCAAGTGTTCCATTTCCTCCTTCTCCTCGGTCGCTTGTAACTTCCACAGGAAATCCAATCTGTATTGATACACAATTTGTTTGTCAATAGTCTTCATCTATTTCTACCATGAAAAATATTTTAACAAATTATATCACGTTTTTCAAAAAGTATTTTATGAAATGTATTGGCATGTATGTTCTAGAATTTCTGATACGTATTATGTCACGTATTTTTAATACATATCATTGTAATTGGTAGTGTTTTTATAAATCTGCACGTAACAATATATATGTATCTTTTTTAGTAAAACATATTTGCTTTAATTAGATTTCAAAATGTCAATATATTCTTGAAATATCCTGAATATTACTTGCATCTCTATATACGCGGCTCATATTTCGATTATAAAATTATTTTGCGAAAATATTAGTTCATGAGATTGTCGATCCGCGACATTGTTTGTGATGAGGTGAAGGTTTTCATGGGAAATTCCACGAAAGCCTCAAAGGTTTCTAACGTGCAAGTTTAGGATGTATATATGAGCTAACGTTGCGTAAGTTTCGAGAAGCGAAATATTAAAGTGTAAGCATCGAATGTTCGACCTGTAGGTCGCCTCTGTGTGCTGGGAGTGTGCCACTAGGCAGGCCATGAAGAAAACCACTAGTACACCCGCCAACCATCTTCCAGCGGGCTCTACGTCGTCCTCATTTAGTGCCTGGTAAATGCTGACCCCGAGATAACAAGCCACAACAATGCTCAATACGGCTACTTTAAAGACCGACGTTAGGATCTGATACACCGCGCAGGTTACCATCACCAGCATCACCAGAACCGGAAACAACTGCAATCAGTTGCGGAGTGTCAGTCTGTGAATTCCTGTAGTTTCGTGAAAATCGTTCTTTATATCACGTCCGTACTAAAAGTTCTCTATTAACGTCACGGAATTGTACGAGACCGACGAATACGTTCTTTGATTACAATATAACAATTTTAAAAATTTGTAGTTATTTTAACTTTTCCGTCAATGGGTACCCCGTTATTTATATTAAATTCTAAACAGCAAAAATTTTTATGTTTTTGTGTAAATTTCGTTATGATGTTTCAAAAACTCCATTTTTTGAACAACAAAAAACTGCAGTTTTGCATATATTTTATCTCATTTTACTTTTACATTTTTTTTACGAGAATCTTTTGAAATATGGTAGTGAAAAGGTGAAATATTGTGCACAAGAAGAGTTCACGGAAGAGTTAACAAAAGAGTTAACTGCATAAAATTTAACATTAATTTTGCATGAATTCTACTAGTCGATTTTATTATAGATTATGAGTTCGTTAAACTTGCATAGCTTTTCTAGCCGTGAGATCATAAGTGTAGTCTCTTCTTTTGAAAGTATCTCTGATCTTTTTTTATCGCGTTTCTTTCATGACAAATTCGAGCGAAGACTCGATTAATCATTGTCTATTTAACGTCGATGTCATATGTAACTTACGTCGCAGAAAAGAATATAATCGCAAATGCCGGGGGCATCGATATCCTTCGTCGGTACTCTCATTACGCTGGGATGCCCATCCGGCGATTCCTCAGCGAAAGGCAACGAGTTATTGTTGACGCAAGCCTCATTTCCGATCAGCGTGATCTGCAGCGAGAAAAAAATGACAAAAATTCGGTCGTTGTTTACTACTATTTTACTATGAGAATGCAAAACATTCGATCGCTCGCAGTAAATGCACAATCCATTTGTGGACCAATATTTTTTTCGTCCGTTTGTGATTCAATTGTGTACGTTCATGGCAACTTTATTATTTCGTGTATGATTTATCGATGCTCGCGTTTGATTTATCACCAAAAGTTTTGGCTCGGCAGACTCTAATTTATATCGCGTTATAGTTTTAATATGAGTTTTCCGAAGTAAACGGTGAGACCGATTATTGGATTAAAAAACTAAGAGAGAGAGAGAGAGGAGAGAGAGAGAGAGAGAGAGAGAGAGAGAGAGAGAGAGAAAGAGAGAGAGAAAAGCATGTGCTGGAAGCTTTATTTGCGTACAAATTATTTATTTATAATAATATTACGCGTGATTAATGTCTTATAGGACTAATGGATTTTATATCTCCTGGATTTTTTGTCTCCGATTTTTCGAATATTAAAATTTTTGAATTATGAAATTTATTTAAATGTTACATTTGTCATCTTGAGAATATTTCTTAAGTTTTGATATTCATGTTTTTCAGTAATCTAAAAAATAATAAACCAATGTAAATTTTTTACATATATTTTTGAAGAAGTGGTTGATGCACGAGAAATGTTTAGTTTCATAGATGTGTACTAACATAAAACACAAACAATAGCTGCATTAAGTTTCGATTACTCACCAGCGGTGATAATACCGTGATGAACGTTAGAAACACGACGATGGATGCGATGCTCTGCGCGATGATGCGATTCTCAAAGATCTGTAACGCCATGCTTCTCACCCATTTTGGCACCCTCTGTGAAACGCGCACAATTAGGGGAAGAGCGATAAATAAAATATTAATCGATCGTTGTATCATTTATGGAAAATTTATAGCAATGTATATAATCGCGCGAATGGGTACGACATACTCTCTCTAAATTTCTTGAAGTGCAATCTCACTCCAAAAGAGTTAAAATACTGCAACTATTGAAAAAGAGTAAAAAATTTTGCACTCTTAAATAAGAGAGTGGCAGATTTTCACTTAGTTTTTTTAGAGAGATTTATTTCGAAGGAAAGAAATCTCTTTTTTTGTCAGCTGATTGTTGTGTCATTTATAAAAAACAATTGCTCTTTCTACTTATAAATAAAATTGTTCTCTAAATTTCTTGGAGTGAAATCTCACTCTAAAAGAGTGAAACTTTATCATTCTTATTTAAGAATGCAAATTTTTCACTCTTTTTCAATAGTAGCAGTATTTTAATTCTTTTAGAGCAAGATTTTACTCCAAGAAATTTAGAGAGCAACTTTATTTATAAGTAGAAAGAACAATTGTTTTTTATAAATGATACAACGATTAGTTGACTTTTGTTCTACCGTGTGCTCTTGTCTTTATCCACTTGCCTCTAGACTAATTAAATAAAGGGATAATTAAAGGTTACGATTCTCAGGATCATCGGGAGAGATTAATGGATGCGCTGTGATCAGAATCGCTGGTTTCGGCAGTGACCTGGAAGTTTGCCACCTGGTCAGGGTCAAAAAGAAGTGGCTCTTTTCCAGAGAGTTTTGACTCGACATTGTACGTGACGTATCGCGCATTTTTATTTAAATTGCTGTTGTGTAGATAGATGTATGACTTTATATAATAGCCACAAGGGGAAAAAAGATAATAATTGCTATTACTATTATCTAGTTTTACAATCTCGAGGGAAGAACGAAAATTCATACACTTATTCGGATCTCAAGAGAATGTATGCTGAAAAAAAATTTACTAAATCTTAGTACATATTTCTTTGAATAATACTAAGTAAACATTTGCTTACAGTAAATAAATATTTACTCAATAAAAAAATGTTAGTTAAATTAAATAATCAGATTCTTCGGATTCGTCCATTTTCCAGACATTTTTCTCGGTGTATTCAAACAGATCATCTATTAGAATTTAATATTTTTTTCAGTGTATTACACTTGTGAGTTCTTACCTCGTTTTTTTCCGCCAATAAAATGCCATTGACCACGGCTATCACCAGTACACTAACCGCCGTGCAAACGTAGAAATATATGCTCCTAGGAAGACAAAGGGGACATTTTAACGCGCTTTTTCTCGAGCTACTTTTGCGAGAAATTTTTCGAATGTTATCAGATTTATGCCGTCTTACACGCTAGCTTATCGAACGATTTTCGCGAAAGTATCCATAAATATTAGAACGAAAGACAATTCAATGTCAGTAAAGTACGAGTATTTTACACATCGGGTCTCAAGAGTATAGTAAAAGGAAGATATCACTGCCGCTGTATAGAAGGTAGAATTTATTGGTACGTGTATTTACCCGGCGAGGGTGATGGCTATTGCGACCACAACGACCATGTAGACGAAACCGGAGCACACAAAATAAGCCGAGAGCATCCTGTCCCTCTCGCGCGAATACTGCAACAGGTTATTTTAACAATTGCAATATCGCATAATGCTTCTACGTTTTCCTACGAGGTGTTTACTGCTAATGGATGTAGTGTTTTCAATCATATTATTAGTTATTGGACAATTTTGTAGGCAATTTTGATGTGGTTTTTCTTCTTGATGAGAAAATGCAGTATTTTGTTCAATCAATGACGACACAATTCTGTTCAATCAATGACATACAGTTCAATTACGTGAAATTCGGAATAACTCAAATACATGTTTAAGCAAATTAACCAAAATTAAATTCAAACGATCTTCTATTAACATGAATTACTGCGTAGTTTGGTCACACTCAATTGTATACATGGACAGTTCAGTACGCAATTACAGCTCGTATTTCGCGTGTGTATATATATATATATATATATATATTATTACTATTAAATTAATTAAATCTCTAAATTCGAGAAAGATCATTCATATAAAAAACAATGTTTAAAATATTTAAATAGAATTTTTATTGCACAAAAGTTAGATAATTATTTTAATAAACGCTATCCTGTTTACACTTAAGTGTGTGTAAAATAAAATTACAATTTTATATTAAGATTTATTTTATGTCAAATAATGTGAAACTGTTAGAAGTTATTGGACGAAATAAATTTATAACTGTAATTGTTTCTTAACAAATTTAATATATTACGATAATTTATGCTTATTTTATTTTTAAGTATATTACTTATCTTGTAATGTAACTTGTTACCTTTTCTTCGACATCCGGTCTTCGAAACGTTAATATAAACGGCGTACAATGCTCCGCTCTTAATCGATCTATACTTCTAGCATCTATCGCTCTCATCAGGTACTCGTTTACCTCATCTTCAGGATCTTTTTCGCCCTCGATGGTTTCACCAAAACCTAATCTATTGAAACATATACATCAAGTATTATCCAATTGAAAAAAACGTAAAGTTTACTCAATGATTTTTATTTGTGATATAAATTATTCCAATATAATATTTGTAACGAGTTAATTATTTTAATCGACTTATTATTACAATATAACGATTTTTATTTTATAATATAACTTAAAAATATGTAGGGCTCTGAGAATAAATCAACTAAAAGGAAATAAAAAAACCAATTAAGAGCCTACGCGGTTTTTGTGTAAAGTTATTTATTTACTCATCGCGAAAATAATCCGCATATCCGTTTCAATCAACTTTTTCAGTCCTTCTCAATGCGAAAAGATTAATTAATTAAATAATAAATTATACACTATAAATTACGGAATACATAATGTTTATATTAATTTGTCACAAATGAAAATACAAAAGTACGAAACATATATCTGGGATCATTTACCACAATGGAGTCAGTAGTTACAAAGTGGGACGCAAGTCCAGATGTGACAGTGGTCAGTTGTGTAATTACAGTTATGTAATTACAGTTTCAACGTTCATAAGATATAGACATAATATTAATTTCACTGATTCGGTTTTCATTCTGACTCATAATTTATTGGAACATTACAATAGGAATCATCTCGGTTTGCACAATAAATTAGTGAAAATCTTTGATATCAGTAAAAGTTGACAGCATAAGATGTAAATTAAGAAAAAAGGCAAGACTGTATAGATCATAGATTCCAAGAAATTTGATATTATTCTGCATGGTAAAAACAGAAACGGCTAATATCTCAAAAAATATTGATTTATCTAACAAAAATGTTCGAAACAAAAGTAATAGGGTTTTAAAAAGTTATTAGATGATGATATTAATTGGATCTTAGAATAAAATTGGATAAAATTGGAAAATGCCTTTAAGGTCAACATAAAAATGTTAAACGGAACTTCCTGTCTTTACAGCTGACGTTGAGGCGTTTCCAGAACACTGGTTACAAACCTTTTCTTCATAAGAACTTTCCGAGTTATTGCATTTGAAAGTTACAGTACCGCCGCGCCGGCATTAGCATTAAATTTCTTGGAACCTAAAACCTGTACAGTCTTGCCTTTTTTCTTAATTTACATCTTATGCTATCAACTTTTTGATATCAAGGATTTTCACTAAGTTGTTGTACAAACCGAGGTGGATGATCCCTTGTCAGCTTCAATCATTTTATCAGAATTTATTTTATCAGAACGAGTGGTGTTAAATATTGGTCATCTGCTAACTGATCACTGTCACATCTAGACTTGCGTTTCACTTTTGTAACTACTGACTCTATTGCAGTAAGAAAATGGTATGATCCTAGATATATGTTTCGTACTTTTGTATTTTAATTTGTGACAAATTGACTTAAATATTATGTATTCTGTAACTTATAGTATATTATTTAATTTATTATTTAATTAATTAATTTCGCATTAAGAAGGACCGAAAACGTCGGTTGAAACGTATTATTTTTGATAAGTAAATAAATAATTTTGCGCACCAACGACCGCGTAGGCTGTTTGTCCCTTTTTAATTGATTTTTATTTTATTTATTGCTTATTTTGTAGGATAAACTGATTTATCTATAATAATAATAAGAAAATATAACAGTCATGATTGTTTTTTAATTTATTAGAAAACAATTTTAAATTACCACAAATTATGGGGTAACTCCGGCAAATACGCCGCGCTGGGATTTATACCGCAGAAGTCAGAAAAAATAGAAGGAGGGGGGTAATTTTCCCGCAATTACTCTGTTACATGCCTTTATGTTGTATTAGTATTGTATTACGATTTCAGCTTCTTATTGTTAATATTAATGAAATTATTGTGAGTTGAATCGATTTGTCATTAATAAGTAACGCCATCATAAATTACAATCTACATAAAATGATTACTGTAGGGCGTGTAAGAAACTTAATGATTATTTCGTGATACATATGTGTAGTGAAATAGTAAAGTATGTTGTGTTCAAAATATAAGTGCTTTGCTTTCGTATTCTTTGTTTAATTTGTTATCTTGCATATCTCATCTGTTTGGGATATACGACATTTTTAGCGAACAGGATTTATGCCCAAAGCGTACAAAGAGTGCGCAGACTGAATTCAATGCATTAAATGCAATAAACGCATTATACAAGTATTTGTATGAAATATGTACCTCATGTCATAAAACTTGTAATATATTGTAGGAAGTAATTATTATTTATTCATATACATATTATATAAATTATAATCTATAAATATGTTTCGCAATAAGAATTAATTATTTACAGATTTTAATATGTTATTCAACATTATTAAAGTCGTTTCGAAGATGCGAATAAGTATCAAATATTTGTTAAATTGCTAGTCAATTTAATTCATGATATTATTGCGGTAGTTTAGTAAAGTTAGCATTTTCAAGACCGAACAATCATTTCAGCGCGCGTTTCTGAGGACAACATATGTAGTATATTAATTAATTAAGTTTTTAGTAAGTGCGGCGTATATACCGGAGTTACCTTAACATTTGAATATTTCGTAATGTTGACAATTTTCGGACATTACTTAAGCGATAAGATTATGATATCGTGACATTTTAATTTCAAAGGAAATATAACTTTAAGAAATTAAGCAGCAATAGAGGAACTCTTACTTGGTTTGTTTTCCGTGTTGCGAACCATGACCCATAACCCTCATTTCTTTGGACACATTACTGTTTGCCGGGAAAGTTTTTCGTATTCCAGAATTAGTTATGTTGCCCTTAAATGTGTCTCCGGGGACAATCAAGTAGGTTCTAATATTATGATCTTTTAAGTACGCGTTTCTCTCACCCCCGCGACCTTCCTCGACTTCATAATACTCGCCCAAGCAATCTAAAGTCTCTTTCGTGATGTGCACACGTCTGCGAAATATCATACCTTTTATTAAATATTAACTTCGTCGTAAATATTAAGAAAATGTTTTTTAACAAGGATAATTTGTTTGAGATATAGTTTGTTATTTAAGATTGTGCGGACTTAACGGAACGAAAAGTTTTATAAAAATTGGAGTAAAGCAACTAGAAATTATACAGGTATATATCGATGTAATTTATCGTCAATCGAGATTAACGTAAAAAGGACAAGTCAGTCAAGAATTAACAAAATTGTTTGTACTCACCCGGGTATACCTCCGCTTTCCATATAATTGGCTAGAGTCACGTCGTTGCTCCAAACATCAAACTGCCATTTTCTCAGACCGAGAACCCCGCAGTGAACCCGGCCCGTATGGATACCGACTCTCATATTCACGTTTACGGCCATTACCTCGCGAACCAATCTACGGAGATACGGACATGAGAATTTATTGTTTCTCCTATCATTAGGCGATGTAACAGATGAATAATATATCTTTCGAGTTTGTGACAACAAACAAGCAAACTTTTTTGCCATTAAGTCTACTTGATTACTTTGGTATTCGAAGTAAACCTTCAACTATTGGAAAAGTTATGAAGTACTTTCGTTATTAATGAAAATAAGAAGGAAACATTTATCAATAATAAATGTTGACGTTTTGGATTAAAGTAAGCTAATAACAATAATTACTCTTCCAGTTACAATGATTGCTCTTCAATATTTTTTGATTTTTTTTATTATTTGGTTTCCGCATTTATTCGTAAAATTTATCGTATAAATACTTTAAAACGAACGTTAAATTTTGCACACGTGCCGGGAAACTGTTCCGATCGCGGATGGAACAGTTTCCCGGCAAGTTCGACTAGGAGAAACATATGATGAAGTTCAAGACGAGATTATTGAATTGAAATTTAAACACTCGTGAGGAAACCATCCACTTGCAGTGACCTGTGGATACCAGTCTTTCATAACGATGCGAATCGATCTCAGTCGTGAGCATACATATCGCGGTCTCTGAGGAAATCTCCTCTTTGACGAAACGCATTTTATGAAAATATGAAACTGACCAAAATACAGGATATGTAGCGCACGGATACAACTCCGTCGGAAGTTCTGTGGTCGTTTCGTGGATCTAAACGGAAGCATCTTTATTGCTCGGATGTTACTTTGATCTGCTAGTTCGTGTCTTTTCTATTCTTTTTTATTTCCCTCTCTCTTTTTCTTTTTATATTTATCTATCTTTCTTCCCCACGGCAGCTTTTGAGATTCTATTTTCAGTTATTTTTATTTTATGTTTTCTTTGTACGTTATCAAACGAGGATAAGAAGTATTACGTGGATCTTTGATGTTGCATGGAACATGTGATAGATTTATTTTGCTATTTTATAATTTTTAATGTGAATACATTTTGAATCGTGACATAGATCTTGATTATGCTTTAGCTATTTATTATCATATATATTGGTTTTAAAAAGCGACATGTGTATAAGACAACAATATTGCTCTTTGACAACAAAATATGTAATAAAAGCTTGACAAAGCTCTTACGTGAGAAATGAAGGAATGTACGGACTTACGTTATTGCATCGATCATATCCAATCCCATTTCTACGCAACAGTGAGCGTGATCTGGCCGTGGTTCCGGAAGTCCAGAAACGCAATAATAACAGTCTCCGAGGAGCTTTATTCTGAGGCAGTGGTGCTCAGCAGCTAGCCTGTCAAACCTGCATATTTATGAAAATTCAATGTAATGATTTATGATATCGAAGAAACTTAAATATTGAGAATGGAATTTTGCCTCAGAAAGGAATATTTTTTTCGTGGAAATATTACGCAGATCTTTGGCTTTCGTAATCAAAGTTACTTTCGCGGAATTCAGTTTCGTAACACACAATTTAAGTATAGAAATACTCGCTATTTTCCTTCATATAACTCCATACTCCATGCAACTTTTGTAATATTTTTCTATATTTATACTCTATATTGGTGCAGATTTAACATCATGCAGTTTATATATAATTCTCACCGTGTTGATGTTAATATTAACAGGTGTGAATTTAAGACCACTGATGTTTATATTATCATTGTGTGGATTTTCAAATCTACACGATGTTAAATCTACATCATCTTGGTAATAATATTAACGCCAAAATTAATGAGAATTACGTAAACACCGCATGTTAATCTATCATACTTACTAGAATATAGACATGCTACATATGCTTTTCCATCTTTCTTATATGTATTTTGTTGTTGATTTTCTTTACTAAAGTTTTAATTGAATTTCTAACTAAATATCTAATGTTATTACTATCCTTTTTTGACATTGACACTGAATAGAATTATGAGCGGTAAATGCGGTACCGTGTTAAATTAATTTGAAATGACAGACAGATGACGCGTCAACAAAAGTAAGGACACTAATAACCCGAGATAATCGGTTTATTCAGATTAGATATTCAGTAACATCGCGTTCCGCGCGGTACATATTATACGAAATTAATTCAGAGCGCCAGAAGGGCGATATTAATATTTCACGCGTGCCCAAATCCCCATAACGTGTAACGTGTATTATGTTAATCTAGTTTAGTGATACGTAGGAAATAACAGTCCCGATGGAGTTGCGTACATACGACTCAAATAGTAATTAAATCACTCAATTATTAACGCATTATCATTAAGTCTTTGAGAGGTAATATAGTAGTCTATTTTATTATTGAAATATTGCCGTGTTACATGATATCAATTCACTTAAGCACTACACACAACACATGTATTTGATAAATATATCTTGCATATATGATAGTTTGCTAATTTGATTTGCCTAATTCCAGGATATATAT